CCCTATATTTTACAGACCCCCAGGACAGTGACAAGCAATGCTTAAAGGAAGATTTTTTTTCCCACTGAAGCTCCAAATCTGTTCATATCTGGTGAATCTGGGTATAACTTAAATTCTCTGTTGCCTTTTAAACAACTTCTACAACGATATATGTTACTACTAACTTTTTTCTTTCATGAACATATACTATATTTGAAAAAGCAGAAGCCACTAATGCTGTCTTATAAACAATTCTGAATACCTGGATGCTGTTTTATTGTGCGTTATATTCCAGTTATAAATCTCACTGCTGTTCTAGAATGGATCATACCCCAAAGGGTGATTTGTCACCAATAGCAACAAAGCCTCCCCAAATAAGCTGGGTGTTATATGTTCCTCAGATGCTATCTTCTCTGTTCTTTTGTAAACACAAAGGTGAGGGACTCTGCAGGAATCCCGTCATCCTGCTTGTAACAGGAGGGCGCATGCTCGTGATTGCATAGTCCACAGGCTTCCTGGGCCTGCTGGTAGCTTTCCTACTGCTCAAAAAACACCAACTGTCTTGACTGCTGCAGATACACATAGTGTCCCCTTGTTCTTTAAGAGTGGTTCAACCCAGACTTGGAGGAAGGAAATGTTGAGGGTCAACTAACTGGAGGAAAGCCAAGTGCATTTCTCTCTCCCTCATTTGGATGCATTGTCAGCTCCTGGAACATTCGAAGAATTCAAAAGAGAGTTAAGAAAGGTGGTAATGATTAAATTAAGTAAGGCAACAATTATTACAACCAGTTCAGTCCCACCAGAGGTTAATGAGGAAGCAATGATTGGTTTTGGTAAGTAGATTTCTGAGCTCCACCTCTATTTATAACAATAATTTGCTGGCTTTGCTGAGGCTGGTGTATGGCTGATGGGGGAGAAGGGCTGGGAGTTTCCTGACCTGTTTCGCCTCCTACTGCCTCCTCCCCCTCTTTCCTTACTCTGACCCTCTCCTCCCTTTTTCCCAATCTCTGCTTTTCAAAATCCTTTGAGAGCTATTCACCTCTGTGCTATGAACTTTGGAAACATTATGCTAAGTAAAAGAACCCAGTCACAAAAGACCATATTTTATATGATTCCATTTATATGAAATATCCAAGAACAGGCAAATCTAGAGACAGGAAGTAGACAGGTTGCTTAGAGCTGGGAAATGGGGGAACTTGGGAGTGACAGGTAAAAGGGTACAGGGTTTCTTTTTGGGTTGATGAAAATGTTCTAAAATTGATTGTGGTGATGATTGCATAACTCTGCAAACATACCAAAAACCATTGAATTGTGCACATATGATTGGTGAATTGTGTGGTATGTGAATTATATCTCAATAAAGCTGCTATAAAAGAAAAATACCCGCTTGGACAAGAAGGTGGTATTGAGTATGGGTTAAGCACGATGCCAGAACTTCAATGCCAGAGAGATTTGGGCTCACATTCTGGCCAGACCATGTATTAGCTGTGTAAAATTGAGCGTGCTACCTCTTTCCTCATCTGTAAAATGGGAGAAAATAATAGTACCTAGACAGGAGGATTCTTGTGAGGATTAACAGGATCATACATTTGAAGCTCTTAGCACGGTGCCCAGACATCACAGGCACTCAACAAATAACTGTTTCAAATGGTTTCTTTTCTCTTGGAATCTCTTAGCTCTTTGTGTATAAGGCTCTTGGAAGTATGGCACTGACTGATGTAAACCTCTTCTACTGGATTGTAAGCCTTTGGCAGGCTCAGACTTCCTTCAGCTGATCTTAACTTAGCTTCCCATATCAATTTCAATTCTTGATGGAAGATTAGGCTCCATCGAGCTGTGCTATACAATGTAATATATTGATATTGTATCAATATCAATTCTAACACCTTGGGGATAGGTGCTAAATACCTATCTGTGTAAAGCTGAGTTGAATACCTTGGCTTCGGCCCTAGATTGTACCCTTCTGGGAGGTAAGTACAATGACTTAATGTTTGTGCTCCACGTGTCTATCTCAGTCACGAGGACAAACAGGTCACTAGGAAATAGGTGTTGGGGGCTGGCCAGTTAGAGCACAGCCTTGAAACACCAAGGTCACAGGTTTGGATCCCTGTACTGCCTGCAGACCAAAAAGAAAAAAAAAAAAAAAGAAAGAAAGGATCAGAGGGCAAGTGAAATTTCTAGTTCCTTAAAATAGACACTATTTTTGTTGCTTCTCCAAATTCATTTCCTGCCTCCCTCTCTCTGTTCTTCCCGGCTGTCAGTGTTCTGATTTTGTTTGGGTGTTAAGGGGTGAATTTTTTTTTTT